TCTTTCAAGAAGCTTGCTCTGTTCAGGGTCTAAATGCAGTTATGAGGAAGACCATTTTCAGACTATACCTGAGAAGGTGAAGGCTTTTCACATAATCCCATGTCTTTCATTTTTTCTGCCAAATTTGCAGCTGAGTCTTTAAAGCAAATACTGTTGTTACTGAAAAATAAGTGACTAGGTTTAGGTGAAAGTAAAACAAACATAAATAAAAGGATTGACACAATTAAAAATCAAAGGCATAAAACCCCCATAGTTTCTAAAATCAAAACCTGAAAAATCATTAACAATTGCAACTGATTAAAGCTACAGAACTTTATGCTGGAAAGCTAATAAAACAACATTTTATAATATAATCCTCTACTTCTATGATCTATCTGTATATGATACATATTCTATGATATCCTTTAATTAAATGGGTTAAACCGATATTTATGTCAAGGCAGTGCAGCCACGTCTAGTATTGTACGTATCGGCTTGCTTTACAAGCACACAAAGAACATAAAAGAAGAAGTAGTGGTACTGCACTCAGATTAATTGCTGAACTCAAAAAGGCTTGACCTAGGGTTTCCAAATCACAAATGAAGCTTTATACAGGTTCATTTTCTTTCACTAACCAAATTTTTGCCTTGGTAGAAATGAAGATGTATGGAGAATGGAAAGAGCCAAGCAAAAACCCCACATCTCGCCAAAAAGAAAACCAAAAAAAAAAAAAAAAAAAAACCCAACCAAAACCCAACCAAAACCAACACAAAAACAGACAAGAAGCAGGATGTGAGGCACAGGGAAAGGACTTGAGCTGTGTTATACTGAGTTGACAAGAGTGTCATAATAGGAAAATGAGTGTTAAAATTCACATGGCAATAATACCATTATACCAATGGGGTTGGTTATTCTGTTTACATCACAGTAAAATTGCTTCTGAAAAAACCCACAGCTAAAAGTAAATATATCAGAAGGCTCTAAAATTATAAGCTAACCCATAAGGACTCAAATAAAACTGCACAAGTAAAACAAATTTTTCTCTGGCATCTAAGAAGTTCAAATCAAACAGCTTTATTCTGCAGTAAAGAAACTAACACAGATTTTATTAATAACTAGAACGCATAACCCTCTGAGTAAATACATTTTATCACATTATCAGTGAACCCAACTTACTCCAAGTCAGACTGAGCTGACACTTGAGAGGAATTACTGTGTTCGCTAAATGTAGAGTTGCTGTTAGATGTTTCATTTCCCATCTGGGGGGGGGGGGGGGGGGGGGGGAAGGGGAGGGAAAAAAAAAAGGTTAACAAAACTATGTACAAAATTCCCATTCAAAGATGAGGGAGGGAGGAGTACAAGATCCTAAATGGAAGCTGTTAGCTGCACTGAAGTTTCAAAACCCTGCAGAATAAAGGCATCTGCCTAACTTCCACCCAGAGGAGTAGAACACTAGGCCCTGTCACAGACAGCAATTTTCCCACTCATATTTAGACTGTATAGGCACATTTGCAGGAGTGTTGGATCTATTAAGAATAGGATAAAAGTAACAGTTACAAATAGCAAATGTTTTCATTGTTTGCTGTGCATGCAATTGCCTGCATGGAAAACAACAATTATGAAGGCTTTAGTATGTGTAATCAGCAGAACAGAAAATTTGAGTCTGTACAAAAAGACATTTAACATCTTCAGTGTGAAAACCCTGTAAAACCTGGATTACTAAATCAGGGTTCGCTAAGAAAAACTAATTCTAAATACTTACTAGAGATTCTTCCTGTTCCCCCCTCAATGTCTTAAGAGTGTAAATACAACATTAAAAGCAACACCTGCAATTGTTACAGGCCATAAGCAAACAAAAAGGTTTATGTTTCAATGATACAAAAGGTTTTTTGTTTTTTTTCATTTGTGAGTACTGGGCCTTTACTACTTTTTGCTAGTTACATTTTGTTTGTTACACACACATCACTGGGAATTAAAAATTCAAACCAAACCTACATACCCCAATTTTAGAGTGATAGCTGCAGAGGTTCTTTTTAAGGTAGTAAATTTCAGATGATGAAAATGCAAAGACCCATGAGCTCACAACATAGGAAAATGTTAAGGAAGGATCCTAGAGCTCTAATAGGCCATTAATTCCATGGTTAACTTAAAAAACAACAATAAAAAAGCATTTAAAATTCACAGTAAACAGCTAAATAATGAAAGAAGTACTCAAAGTAAAAAAAAAAAAAAAGTTCTTTCTTCCACCAAACTGCCTTTCTTCCATTTAAACTACATGTAAGTTAGTTCCTATGTACTGTTCTGTACGTTTCAGAAGTGGGTTTGGATCACTATTATAATTCTGATGATTTTTTTTGCGCATATGGAAGTATAACTGCTAACGTGAAAACAACAGCTCTGCTCTCCAGAGGAGAGTGTTCATAATTGTTTCATTAGGCTCTGCCTTGGAATACTACAGAAGGCAAGTCCTGTTGATTCCCACCCCCCACTTTTGCCCTTCTTGCATTTCACAATAGATTTTTGATCCAACAGAAGGCAGCAAGAGGTTTGTGTTCTTAGCCAGTCAGCTCAACAACAGTTCATGCAGGAAACAACCAGTACATTAGAGCAGTCAGAATTCAGAAATTTTTGATACATGTACATCCTTGAATGCCAACATATCAGACCATCTTCTGAAACACACAGAGATACCAACTGTGAGATTTTTTTTTTGTTTTTAATCCAGCAATTGAATATAGAAACACAAAACTTTACCAACAGAATCCTGTAGCCCAGCAAACCCACCAAAATATGGATTGTTTTCCCCTTAAGTGGAATCCATGGAACGTGATTTTAAATACAGTGAGGAAATCTGTTCAAAGATACAAGAATTAAACTTCCATTTTAAGGTTAAATATCGCACATACTGTTACAGTGCCTTGCTTAATTAGCTTCTCAAACGCTTGTTTTGCAGCAGCTTGTTTTGCAGCAGCTAGAGAAGATCCAGTGCCATTTCCATACACATGACCACTAATTGTACAGCTACAAGAAAACCTGGAAAACACAATAGGGATTAGCATCTTATATCCCATATAACAAGTCTTAGTTTAATAATTTTAAGGACTATGGTCAATTGACATCATAGAATGGAAATCCAAAACATAAGTCTTCAGAACAGTATTTCCGATGTACATTTAATCTAATTTATAAAGGTAGGTAACTATTTTGACATACCTTCAAGTTAACCAATTTTCAGAGAGTGAACACTTAGCACTTTTTAAGGTTGAATTCCTCAAAGCATCATCATGTGCACCCACAATCACAAAGTATCTGCAGTTTAGGTTTTAT